GGGGGGGAGGCTGTGATCATTGCCAGGAGCTGCTGAAGCCCCTTGGGTGGGATTTGCGCACGTGCCCTGTGTAAAGCCAGCACCGCATCAGGGGGCTGAGCAAGAGTGGATTGAACTGTGGGGAAGGCATCTCTCACAGCCGGGATCCTTGCATGAGAGAGCAACCAGGAGATGTTTTCAAGCAAGTCCAGCACAGGTGTTCAATAACTGAAGGGATAGTCTCTGTTCGCTCATGCTCCTTAGATCCACATGAACCAGATGCAAGTTATGCCAAGATTTGATGAAAAGCTGTCAAGTATCTAAGGATGTTGCCCCGTTCCTGTGCTCTCCCCAGCCACTCTTTCATGCTAGCCAGACCAAGCCCTATTTTCCTCCTTGCTACTTGCTGCAGAAACCTTTTTCTCATCTGCGTGGGTTTTTTCACCATCTTTGCCAGCATCTTCATCTGCTGTCAGCTCCTTATTACTGTTCGCTCTGTCGGAAACAAAGATGATAGGCTAGAAGAAGAAGAAGGAAGAGAGCAAAAGAGAAGTGGAAATTACACAAAAAATAATGGAAGGGAAAGTATTTGGGGACATCCATTCTGCGGTAAAGCACATGCAGCAACAGCTCCTGCCCTGAGAGGGTGCCTGGAGAAGCCAGAGCTGGGAATGAAAGGAAAAAAAAAAAAGTGGAGGAATTTCTGAAGTTACTGCTCTCCTCATGCTAAAAAAGCTGCAAAAGTCTTTTTGCAAAATAGTGCAATCTCTGGCTTCTAGCTTTCCTTTTCAGAAAGCCAGTAACCGTTTAAACGTTACTTTTCGTTTTTTTATTTTTAAGCAAAATCAGCCTCCCAGATTCTCAATTCTCAGTTAAACTGACGAACTTGCCCCTCTCTATGAAGGACAGTAGCACCGAACGCAAGCAGAATCTGAATCCCACACAGAAAGTGAGTATTTGTGTAGGAGCTTGTTAATTATGCGAAGCTTATGTTCTTTCTCTGTATAAGTTCTTGAAGCATTCAGCTGTAAGCAGCCACGTGCAATTGTTAGGTTTTAGTGCATTTGCTACAAGATGCAAATGTGTTACCCTAGAGTATTAATTGCAATCAGCCTGTCTCGAGATTAAAATGCCTGGTTACATTTTCAGGGTCCTAAATGTGTTGTGTAGAATCGAAAGGAGAATCCTGGACTCTGGTGAGCAGCAACTTCAGGAAAGAGGAGTAGCTGCATTAGGCAATGGAAAGCGAATGTGAGGGCATGTGTCTGGAGAAGGGGTGATTTTCACTGGAAAGGGGTGTTGGGATGCCTGTGGAGGGCAGGAAGGAAGGGCAGCTGAGCAATCCCGAGGATCAAGCTTGTAAAGTTGAAAAGTTTCTGTCACCCTTTTGCCACCCCCTTGAGTGAGAGGGGTATATGAATCTGTAGCTTGCAAATGGCCTCTTATCCAGTGCCCTTCATTAACTAGACCAGTTTCCAGATGCAAACAAATCACTAATGATACCAAGGAACTCTGCTCCTGCTGCATGCGTTGCACATGCTCTCAGCACATTGCGCAAGTACCCACCTTGCCCTTTTTCTTCTTCTGTACAAAGAGAGACAATTTAAAAAAAAAAAAAGTGTTTTTAAATAGAACTGTAGATTTTATGCGTATTATGCAGAGCTGATGGTAAA